CACCCTGAACCTCTGATGTCATGAATCATTATATATTTTTTTTATTCAGAATCTGTTTTTCAAAAGTCGATTTTTAATCTTCATCAGTCCATTGATCTTGTTCACTGGCTTGTTCACGGATATATAAATTAGCAAAATGTTCAGTGTCAATCGTAAAGTGATCGTCCATCGTACTTGAAATAATTTCGTCGTGATGAATATCGATATTGAATGAATACTAAATCAACAGGAAAATTATTAGTCACTTAGCAGAAGTAAACTTACTTTGTTCAACGCGTACACCATTTTCAGTTGTCGCGGCAATTGTGATAATGAGACAATATCAACAATAAAAGTTTATGCCGAACGTAAGTGGTATTGTTTAATATTGGAGCTAGATATTTTAATCCTCGATTAATTTGTTCACACGATTGAGTATTGACATCTTTCATATCGGAATAAGAATCAGGATTCAGTTCGGTGTGACATCGTCGCTAAAAGAACAATGTAATAGGTTTTTAGATTAGTTATTCAGAGAATAGATTTTAAAATAAAAAGGATTTTTAAAAGTTGACTATCTGATATTAATAGTATTGTGCAGATAATAAAGAAAGAGCGATTAGTACGTTGAGAGTTTTATGAAATTAAAATCAATTACTTTTTTATGGTTCACTAAATGAAATCTATCAATTAAATATATAGTAGTTGCTACTATATTTGTAGCTGCAGTTTGTTTCATCATTTTTTCTTTCCATTGATTTTCAATATAGTCTTTTAATAAGCAACCTAAATATTTCAGAAAAGAAGCTTTTTTAGATTGAGTTATCTTCAACAAAAGTACCCTACCTGCATCATATACAATAATCGAAGGAAGTTTTTGGTTACATTTAAAGACATGTGTCAAAATATCAATCACCTCTTTTCTACTTTCCGTACGAATCAACTCTGTAACAGCCAATATTATATTTTTATCTGTTGCAACAATAAGAACGCCCATTGCCCTTTTACGTGAATCAATTAATGCAACAACATCTTTTCGCACATTACATGATAACTAAACGATAGAGATACAGAACTGATACAAAATTTCATTTGATGCATAATTTACCAACCTTTGATAAAGCGTTCACAACTTTTTATTGTTGTTGCTGTTGTTGATATTTGGATTTCTTTTGCTGAGATTTAATTTTCTCAAGCCCCTCACCGGAGGCACTTATTAAGTTGAGTTTGCACCCATCACAATAGCAACTTCGATATGCAGCTATAATTTAAATATAATAGAATGAATTAAGAAGTGTTAAACTAACATACGTGTATTTGGACAACCTGTTTCAATCAAATCATATGCATGACTATATCGATATACAGATTTATTGGAACATATAGCTCTACGCAATTTCCACGTACCATCAACTATTAAACATTTTCTTTGTTCAAGAACGATTTTCGACCAAAATCTTGTATATTCATTTGATGAATTCTCCATAATTCTTTTGAATTGCTGATCAAATGATTTCTCGTTCGAACCTCGAGAAAATTTTGGTAAAAATACATGTTGCTTGCCAATAAATAAAGAATATTTAATCCACTCATAGGTCAAAAAGGCGAATTCAAATTTTCTTCGATCCATATAACTACATCTCTGACCCGGCATTGAATTCATCGTGTCAGTAAAACCATAGAAAGTAGTTCGTCCACGACTATATTAAATTTTATAATAAATATGTAATGAATCTTTAGAATAAATAAGTTTACCTCAGCAGCAGTGCAAATTGATCAAACATCGTACGTTGACAAGCTGAGTCACCATCATAATAATAAAATAAATTATTGTTAAACGATGGGAAATTAGCGACACAAGCTTCTTCGGTACGATAATGATTTGAAAATACTATTATGTGACATTCCTTTGAATCGCATTTAAATGATAACATAGTACCTTTTTTACTTGTTCCATCATGCTTAAAAATGTTTGTTGTTCTCCATTTCATATTTAATAGTTCAAACTTTCTGTTACAACTACACATAAAACAAACAAGAAAAAATAATGATTTTTTTTTGCAATGCAACATAAGATGATACTTTGGACATCTATCACAAAATGGTACTAATAGAATGGGTGCACAAAGTTCAACATATATATGTAATAATGACTTATTCAATGAATATGCAGATAAAATTAATTCAACATTAAAATCATGAAAAAATTTAATATAATCATCAGCCAATTTTTTCTCAGAAATAAAATTTAATAAGTTTTCAAGTACTGATGGATTAATATTTATTTCAAGAGTTTCATTTAAAATTGAAGCAATATGATGATATTTGAATGGTACACATTTATTTATTCGATTATTTAAACCCTTCGCTAAAGAGAGTGCTTCTAGAGATATTTCGTTCAATATATCATGAACAATTTCAGATATTTTCTCCCTGTCATTAACATTTGGTTGAACTGGCAGCATAGTTCAACAGAAAAATCTACAATTATAGCATTAGTCAAAACCTTCACCTAATACTTAAAGATGAAAGTGTGAATTAATTTACACAAGTTAGTCTTCATTTATTTTACATATTTTCTTAGTATGCATCATAAAATTTTTTACTAAATTAATCATAACAAGAGATAATATATCCGTATAAATATAGATATAAATTAAAAAATTAATAGTAAGAGTACAACGTATGCTATCATACCAATATGACGAAAAAATAAATGATCAAATATTAAACAACATATACGTATTAAATGATAAATAAAAACGTAAAATAAAAATTTACGTTTAAAACAAACAACATTATTCAAAATAAACAAATGAATAATGTTCAAATATTAATTCATATCCACTTTTTAATCATTTTTTTCGTTTTCTTGGGTTGTGTAGTTGTTTTTTTTCGTGTACTTTCTTTGGTGGACGATGGTATT